CAGTTATGTTCCGGTGGTTTGCCCCATGTAGGGGTTTGTCCTGCCATGATGGTCCCTCCAGCACCTCTTCCTCTGGACCCCACTGTCTGAGACATTCTCTGAGCACCTCATCTGCCGGGGCCTTGTCCTTGATGTACTCAAGGAGCTTGGATGTTTCATCCTGGACAGTGGTTCCCACACTCACTAGTCCTCGGCCCCCTTCCTTCCGGCCTGCGTACAGTCTCAGGGTGCTGGATTTGGGATGGAACCCTCCATATATATATATATATATATATATATATATATATATATATATATATATATATATATATATATATATAGATAGATAGATAGATAGATAGATAGATAGATATAGATAGATAGATATGTATACAGGGGAAAAAAAATAAATTCAGGTCTAATTGACCCACCAGGAGAGCGTGAGGGTTAAAAATGTACAGAGTATTTTTATTTACTCATGACACCAGCTTGTATTGATCTGAACAAGGTCTTGATCATCTCTTGAATAAAGTTCAAACTGAACTTGCAACTTTAAAGAAATGGTTTGATATGAATTAACTATTTTTGGAAATAAAAAGAAAATAAGTAAACAGTGCCACGTAAAAATTCTCGTGAATAAATATAGATTATAAATTAAATTGGAAATTGCACATACTGAAGACAAAGATCACAAAAATCATTGCTATTGTAGAAAAGGCCCCCTTGTGGCCACAGACTTTGACACTCTCTCTCTCCTCCCTTGCCGTGCACCTCGCTTCACCTGGACTCTCGTCCAATCAGAAGACGCCTTGGACTCTTCAGCCTGCAGCTAGTTGTTAGTTGGTTGAAAAGTTCGATGCAAGCAGCAGTGTTTAGTGGCGCTGTTATTACCTGCTTGTTTTTTGTATTTGCTGTCCTCTGATTGTGTGAAGTGTGTGCGTTCTATGCAAGTAAGTGAATGTGTGTCAATGAGAGTGAGTTTTATATCATTTGTTCTTATTACACTTTGTTGTTAGCTTGGGCCTACTTTTTCCTTTAGCCTTGTTCGCCATTATACGTATAATGTTGTGTTTTACCTTGCCGTGTTTAGTTGATTTCCATTTACCGATACCGAGTATTCGTATTCTGTCGCTAATTTCGTAGTTATGTAACCCACGCACGGCGTGGTTCTTAATTGGTTGTTGGCTCGAGGCAAGCCTTGTCACGCGCTCGCTAGGCAGGCCTCGAGCAGGTATTGTATTTACCTTCGTGGCCACCAGAGGGAGCCATGCCTGTTATCTATTTTTGCGACCACCAGATGGAGCTCTTGTATTTTCAGTAGTATTCGTTTTCTGCCTTTCTGGTGAAACTGACAGTGCCATATATATGTATATATAGTGATATATGTCAGTTTGACCATGTTTATTAGGGTTTTCAGTTGTTACATGTTATTTGTATAGTTTTTTTATGTTCATATTGTATACATTTACATTATTCATTATTGTTTGTATTTCTTGTCTTTTCAGAACCACACACACACATACCCATACAGACAGCCTCCAATAAACATCCTCCAATCAAGTCAAGCATCAAAGTGATTCTTACCGATCACCTGCTGTGGGTTCCCACTTAGCTATCCAGTACATTAATTCGATTAGGAAGCACATCCTTCCTCACAGCTATATTATGTAAAATTAAAAAGTATGTAACTCAAAATGCACTCAGACTATTATATATAACCCTCTCATCCTTCCATACTTTAACTATTGTGTGGAAATATGGGGGAATAATTATAAAACAAATATAATTTCCATTTATTTTCTTAATGCAAAAGAAAACTATTAGAATTGTCAATAATGCAGATTACTGTGCATCAACAAATGCTCTTTTTATTAAATGAAATACATTAAAATGACATGATCTTGTTGATCTCAATACTGCAGTTGTGATGTTTAAGACACATAATAATCAGCTCCCTCAGAGGATCCAAGAGATGTTCAGACCCAGAGAGAGTGAGCCCATGTGTCTCCATCAGAGGAGTTCATCTGTGGAACAGTCTGGATGAAACATTAAAAGGCTCTAAAACAATTTACACATTTAAAAAATGTATAAGACCAGAATTATAGAGAAATATAGATGGACATATGTAGACCCCTCCCAGTGACGTCACTGCAAAGTATCAATAGAAATATCCAAGAACCAGCTGCCGTCTGTGAAAATCCAAAGTTTAAGTTCCTTCTTCTTCGGCCCAGTTGAAGAGATTCAAGAGCAAAAAGTCACAAGACACGGACAATCCAAAACATTCACACTCCAAATATTGTATTAAAAATGTGAACAAAACTCCAGCCTGCTGCTTCTGTCGGCCTTGTATCTGTTTGTTGTGGTTTTGTGCAGTTTTCTGTCCCTGTTTTGTTGTAGTTTTTATTAGTTCTGCAGAATAAAGTTTATTGAATTGCCTTTATTGTTTTATTTGTGTTTTCTGTATGACCTTCACAGTCACCTATTAATCATCTGCAAAAACACAGGTGTAAATACTTTAACCTTCCGGTATCGGGGAGAATAAAAAACACACTTTAAGAGCTTCAAGACAAAAGTTCAGAAGTTGTTCCTGTGGGTTTCCTTTGCACTCCCAGACTGCTGCCATGTTCAGTCCATTGTAAACAAAGAAAGCAGTCATATAGAGTGGTTCAGCTGCAGAACGTCTGATGAAGTATAAAATGTCTTGTTGCTCCTTCTGAAGTGTGAACTGACCTTGGATTGGTCTTAATAAACTTGAACTTCCTTTTGGCTCTGTGCACATCACAGACGCTTCTTTACTGGGGCTGAGTTCTTTATGGTTTTACAATATTGTGATGAAGAATTAGGCTCATAAAAATCCTGTCAATGTTTGATGAAGTGTTTTGGGTTTTTTTTAAGATCCAGTGATTTCCTTATGTCTGTTTACATCTCCAAAGCTCAAAATGCTCTGTTCCACCTTGTGATGTCATGTAGTGGTGGTTTTCAAGTTAACAGCTCCATTTTACCTTTAGTTCAGTTGAGATCAGCAACTCCAGGACTGAAATTATCTAAATGATTTTAGTGAAGACACATGAAGTTTAAAAACACAGTGGAGCACCTGTATTACCACATGACATCACAAGGTGTTTTCTGTTTGAGAGAAAAAGTCCAGGTTGGTTTGTTTGTGATGAGGAAACTACATTATAACATAGATGGTGTAATATGGGCTCTTTAAATAATTGCTTCCAACAAACAAGAATTGGACTTCCTCCTTACCAGTGTAATCTGGAGTACCCCAGGGGAGAGTAATCGCCCCAGCCCTGTTTATTTTGACGGCTTTAGAAAGGTTTATCTTTAGGTTTATTACTCAAAAGTGTTAGAGGCCATGTACTCTACCTGATTTTCCTCATGTATTTGAGCAAAGTTTGTCTTACCCCAGTCCACATGTGCTCCCTGTGTGACCGGAGCAGGACCTGTGTTCAGCAGTAAGTCAGACCTGAGCCCAGAGCATGTTGGACTCCGCCAGGGCCGCCCCTGTCACCGGTTCTGTTCATTGTTTTTATGGACAGAATTTCTAGGCGCAGTCAGGGGCCAGAGGGGGTCCGGTTTGGGGACCACAGGATCATTTCTGCTGTTTGCAGATAATGTTGTCCTGACGGCTTCATCGAACAAGGACCTGCAACATGCACTGGGAACAGGTCGGAACCAGGACTAAACCAGGACTAAACCAGACTAAACCAGGACCTGTAACATGCACTCAGGTGGTTTGAATAAAGAGAGGAATGGCTGGGATAAAGATCAGCTCTTCTAAATCTGAAGTCATGGTTCTTGATCTGAAAAAGGTGGTGTCCTCTCCAGGTGGTGGAGAATCCCTCACTTAAGTGGAGGTTCAGGTATCTCTGGGTCTTGTTCACGAGTGAGGGGAGGATGGAGCGTGAGATTGACAGATGGATCAGTGTAGCGTCTGCAGTGATGTGGTCGCTGTATCAGACAGTGAAGAAGGAGCTGATTCGAAAGGCAAAGCTCAGATTTACTAGCCAGGCTGGTACCACCTAGTGCCTCCGCTCAGTTTAATTTCTCTCCAGCGACTAGTTCAGGAATCAGAAAACACTAAACGGTTTGCAAGAACCCTGGAAGTTGTAGCACACGCACCGGCCAATCAGCTGTGAGCTGTGAAGCCATGACGTCAAACTCAAGCATCTGTCTGGGTCCTTTTTGTGGAACAGCACAACAGTAAACAAAGTGTCCAGATGGATGTAGACGATACAAACTTTGCATTTTTTATTGCACCTTTAATTCACAAGTTCACCTCGCAGAAACAACAATGATCGTTGACAGACATGTTCACTCTGTTTTGTTTGCTGTTGTGCTGGCAATTTCTTGGACACCACTGAGCGTTAAACCGCATTACATACATCATAAACTTATAGCAATGATTGGTTTGCCTTCCATTGAGCGAACGAATCCTAATGCTGCCAGGTCAGACAGTTTACATGAAGTCAAACTGGCTGATGAATCAGGCTACCGATTTACCGCTCAATCTATGCTTCTACCGAAAGGACAAGAAGGAGGAATAGAACAGTTGAAATAAATTTAATCCGCAGAGTGGTTGGGCACTGCCTTAGAGACAGGGTCTGGTCAAATATATTCTCTGATCCTGGTGTATGTTTTGGTTGTTCCACCAGGCCTCTGTAATCTGACAATTATACAACATCTCATATCAACATTGTAAAATACACAAACACACTTAACCTCCTCATGTTTTCACTGGAATAATAATTCAAAGTTTGCTCATAAATGCCATTGGTTGATGAAATGTTTCTAACCTTTGATGATTTGATGATTAGAGTTGATAAACAAGGTTAAAGTCGACTGCAAACACAGCCTATAAAAACCGCTCTCACAGTTTGGGATCATGATTCTGCCTTTGAGATGAAGACCATGCAGTCGTCTATCTTCTTCCTGCTGCTTCTGGGTGTGTGTCCCTGGGTTTGGATGCTCCACCTGAGCTCAGTGAAGTGAAGCTGGTGCGGGGGACCTGCCCCATGTTCTGGTTCAGCTTCAACGGTCGCTGTTACAAATATGTGCCCACTCCTATGTCCTGGGCCGATGCAGAGCTCAACTGTGTGTCTCAGCGCACCAACCTGGTGTCCATCCACAGCCTGGCAGAACACAACTTTGTGAAGGGGTTGATTCAGAATTTTGATCACACTCAGGGCCGAACCTGGATTGGACTCAGTGACATCCACAAAGAAGGAGCGTGGATGTGGTCTGATGGTTGTCCAGCGGTTTATAGGATGTGGAATGCCGGAGAACCAAACAATAGTGGACGAAATGAACACTGTACAGAAATCTGTTTTGGTAATGATAAAAACTGGAATGATGAGGGTTGCTCACGTTGGTCTCCCTCTGTCTGTGCCACACGTAAACCTGGCTGTTAGAAATGATGCCACAGCCACAAACCAACACCTGGACATGGACTTTATCTTCTGATTTGATGATAAGATTCTACATTCTGAATAAATTTTGTTTTGTTTTCTGCGACACCAAACTGATTCTAATGTATGTAGACTGTAAAAGCCAAACACTGATCAAACAATGACTCTGTGATTACAAAACAAACATTAAATCTTACACATTTGTATGCAGGTTATTTTATCATTTTTGTGTAGACAGTTTATACTTTTGTCATTGACTTGATCTGTGAATAAAAAGACTGGAGTCAGCTGCCACTTCATCTTGTTTCATTGTAAAGTGTAATGTGCATCTGATACAATACGTATAATAAATGTGCAGTGGATTCAGCTGCTGTTTTGTTTTTCTGTGTGTGACTGCGTCACTATTGCAAGAACATCATTATTTCCAATTTATTCTGATGACATCACTTCAAATTATAGCAGTATAAGGTAAGGTCAAATATTTTCTGGACAGGAAAGCTCTACATACACTTTATTGTTTCTTAGTTGCACCATATTTAACGTACTGTGCTGAGATCTGGGGTAATAATTATAAAACAATATTGGAACCACTATTCACATTACAGAAAAGAGCACTACGGATAATTCATAACGTTGGGTTTTATCACCACACCAACCAGTTATTTATCACTTCCAAAATTTTAAAACTTAAGGATTTGATAAGCTTCCAGACAGCAAAAATAATGTACAAGGCAGAAAGGAAGGAACTCCCAAAAAATATTCAAAAACTTTTTAGAGAAAAGGAGACAACTTATAATTTAAGGGGAATTCATCTCTTTAAAATGCCCAGAGTCCGTACAACAAGAAAAAGTTTCTGTATTTCAGTTTGTGGGGTCAAAATCTGGAACTCTATGAGTGATGACCTCAAAAAATGTCCAAATATGAAAATGTTTAAATATAAATATAAAGAAATGGTAATATCTAGGTATGCTCAAGAAGGAATTTAATTTTATTATTATCTGAATGCAAGTGCTATATTTATTTTTGTATCGGGAGTAATGTGACGTACTATATGAGTCTGGCAGAAGCACATTATTGCTTTAGTGGAATTGTAAAAGGGGGTGGGGGTAGATAAGCATTGCTTCACCCCACTCCTTTTTGGAACAATTGATTTTTTATTTTTTTTCTCTTTTCTTTTATTTCTATTTGTGGATATTATAGTTGTGATGAGCAGTGTAAAATAATAGTCTTTATGTATCTGTTGATTATTGCATATGCAATTTATCATTTACTGTATGATAATGCAATTTGTTATTTATGGAAACATCCTAAATAAACTTATCATCATAAATTATGTCCAACAACACCACTCCATATTTACCATTTACAGCACCATCTGTTAGTGAACAACAATATGGATTTAGATCGAGTAGATCTTTAGATCCCACAGTGATGATCATGAACAACACGATTTCAACACACATTTATTTACACACTCTAGAATTGTTCTCATCATCCTCTTTAATGATCGTAACAGGAAGAAGCCAGGCCACTTCTCAGAGTTGGAACGTGAAATTTTCAAATCCACGTCTGTCTGTTGGAGCAAAACTAAAGTGGAATTTCACTCAAAACCTTACAACAGGGACAACAGAAGTTACAGCAGAAAATGTCTGAGCTTCATTCAGTGGATTTAAATCACAATAACACTGAACGGAAGTGTGTGAGGCAGAAAAGGGCCGGGGAGAGGGAGGCACCATAGAAGTCTTAAAAAATATGTGTATGTCTATATATATATATATATATATATATATATATATATATATATATATATATATATATATATATATATATATATATATATATATATATATATAAAGGGGGAAAAAAATAAATTCAGGTCTGTTTGACCCACCAGGAGAGCGTGAGGGTTAAAAATGTACAGAGTATTTTATTTACTCATGACACCAGCTTGTATTGATCTGAACAAGATCTTGATCATTTCTTGAATAAAGTTCAAACTGAACTTGCAACTTTAAAGAAATGGTTTGATATGAATTAACTCTTTTTGGAAATAAAAAGAAAATAAGTAAACAGTGCCACGTAAAAATTCTCATGAATAAATATAGATTATAAATTAAATTGGAAATTGCACATAAACATACTGAAGACAAAGATCACAAAAATCATTGCTATATTATGTAAAATTAAAAACTATGTAACTCAAAATGCACTCAGACTATTATATAACCCTCTCATCCTTCCATACTTTAACTATTGTGTGGAAATATGGAGGAATAATTATAAAACAAATATCATTTCCATTTATTTTCTTTCTCTCTCTTTCACAAAGCTCATGTGAGGACCAGACTGAAAAGTCCATGTGTCTCCATCAGAGGAGTTCATCTGTGGAACAGTCTGGATGAAACATTAAAAGGCTCTAAAACAATTTACACATTTTAAAAAATGTATAAGACCAGAATTATAGAGAAATATAGATGGACATATGTAAACCCCTCCCAGTGACGTCACTGCAAAGTATCAATAGAAATATCCAAGAACCAGCTGCCGTCTGTGAAAATCCAAAGTTTAAGTTCCTTCTTCTTCAGCCCAGTTGAAGAGATTCAAGAGCAAAAAGACACAAGACACGGACAATCCAAAACATTCACACTCCAAATATTGTATTAAAAATGTGAACAAAACTCCAGCCTGCTGCTTCTGTCGGCCTTGTATCTGTTTGTTGTGGTTTTGTGCAGTTTTCTGTCCCTGTTTTGTTGTAGTTTTTATTAGTTCTGCAGAATGAAGTTTATTGAATTGCCTTTATTGTTTTATTTGTGTTTTCTGTATGACCTTCACAGTCACCTATTAATCATCTGCAAAAACACAGGTGTAAATACTTTAACCTTCCGGTATCAGGGAGAATAAAAAACACACTTTAAGAGCTTCAAGACAAAAGTTCAGAAGTTGTTCCTGTGGGTTTCCTTTGCCCTCCCAGACTGCTGCCATGTTCAGTCCATTGTAAACAAAGAAAGCAGTCATATAGAGTGGTTCAGCTGCAGAACGTCTGATGAAGTATAAAATGTCTTGTTGCTCCTTCTGAAGTGTGAACTGACCTTGGATTGGTCTTAATAAACTTGAACTTCCTTTTGGCTCTGTGCACATCACAGACGCTTCTTTACTGGGGCTGAGTTCTTTATGGTTTTACAATATTGTGATGAAGAATTAGGCTCATAAAAATCCTGTCAATGTTTGATGAAGTGTAATCGCCCCAGCCCTGTTTATTTTGACGGCTTTAGAAAGGTTTATCTTTAGGTTTATTACTCAAAAGTGTTAGAGGCCATGTACTCTACCTGATTTTCCTCATGTATTTGAGCAAAGTTTGTCTTACCCCAGTCCACATGTGCTCCCTGTGTGACCGGAGCAGGACCTGTGTTCAGCAGTAAGTCAGACCTGAGCCCAGAGCATGTTGGACTCCGCCAGGGCCGCCCCTGTCACCGGTTCTGTTCATTGTTTTTATGGACAGAATTTCTAGGCGCAGTCAGGGGCCAGATGGAGTCCGGTTTGGGGACCACAGGATCATCTCTGCTGTTTGCAGATGATGTTGTCCTGATGGCTTCATTGAACCAGGATCTGCAAAATGCACTGGGAACAGGTCTGAACCATAAACCAGGACTAAACCAGACTAAACAAGGACCTGTAACATGAACTCAGGTGGTTTGAATAAAGAGAGGAATGGCTGGGATAAAGATCAGCTCTTCTAAATCTGAAGTCATGGTTCTTGATCTGAAAAAGGTGGTGTCCTCTCCAGGTGGTGGAGAATCCCTCACTTAAGTGGAGGTTCAGGTATCTCTGGGTCTTGTTCACGAGTGAGGGGAGGATGGAGCGTGAGATTGACAGATGGATCAGTGTAGCGTCTGCAGTGATGTGGTCGCTGTATCAGACAGTGAAGAAGGAGCTGATTTACTAGCCAGGCTGGTACCACCTAGTGCCTCCGCTCAGTTTAATTTCTCTCCAGCGACTAGTTCAGGAATCAGAAAACACTAGACTAGTCCTTTTTGTGGAACAGCACAACAGTAAACAAAGTGTCCAGATGGATGCAGACGATACAAACTTTGCATTTTTTATTG